AGATGATTGACAGGCAGGCAGGCAGACAAATATGCCGGATGGAAGCATGGGTAGGCAGAGCTGATTGTGCCTTCCTCTTCCTCCTCTTCCTCCAGCCTTCTTATCCTGGTTTCGGAATGGGCTGCTGGCCACGGGCATCGGCGTGATTTCCTACATGCAGAGTGACATGGGGCGGGAAGCGGCCTACGGTGAGTAATCCGGAGCCCCCTTCTGCCGGCTGGGTGCCCAGAGATGTCCACAAAGGGCTCCCCAGGCCTGCAGGATAGCCGGGAAGCCAGTTCCATCTTAGCACCCTCTCTTCCTTCCCATGTTTCCCCCTCAGGTTTCTTCATCCTCGGCGGGATCTGTGTCTCGTACGGGAGCGCCTCCTACTTCGTCAGCCTCCTCCTCCTCCGCCGCACCATGATGCTCTCCTTCTCGGCCGCCCTCCTGAACTCGGCCGCCGTGGTGACCGTGGCCCTCTTCTGGCTCTGCGCCATCTCCCTCTACATCGGCCGACTGGAGGTGGAGATCATCCAGGAGGACGCCGGCGAGAAGAGGAAGGAGAACGGCAAGGCCGAGAAATGAAGCGCCGGAGGGACTCTTCTGGACTCGATGGGGACTCTGCGGGCGATTCGGAAGGGATGAGCTCCACGGCGGTTGGGTCGGAGGGGACCGCGGAAGGAGGAAGGTTGGCTGGCTGGCTCTCCTGCAGAAGTGCAAGAGTGGGCTTTCAATTTATTTCAGGATCTTCCGGATGGGGAGCAAAGGTTCGAAACCCTCCTTGGAGCGAATGAGCTCTAGAAGCATGAATACTTGCTACTTAAGGATCTTGGATGCTTTTCACGAGTGGGCCCGCTTTGCAAAACCCCCTCCCCTTTCTGCTTCGACTCTGCTTTCTGGTTTCAGGTGTGCGTGTGTGTGTGTGAGAGAGAGAATAAAAGCCAATAATTGTCTGAATGTCTTCTGCATAGCTTATCTTGGCTTTTCCACTCTCGCTTGTCCTCTGGACTTCTTCCCCCATCTCGCTTCTGTCGCTGGGCTGGTCAGTGAACATTTATATTAAAGACACGCAAAGCAACTTTACGTGTTTTCTAGGCTGTTCGGAGTTTCTTGTGCGAGAGAAGGGAGGGGGGGTGTCTGTTTTGAAGCTGCATTTGGGAAATAATATTTGCCATTGTTCCTACCCTGCGAGAGCAAGGGGGGCCCTCAGGTGGGCAGAGGGAGGGTCTTAGAAATATGGGTGGTCCTCAATTTACAAAGTTTTATTTAATGACCGTTCTAAGTCACAGCGGCACTGAAAAGTGTCTCGGGACTGTTTTTCCCACGTACGACCGTTGCAGCATCCCTTACGAAAGGATTGCAGAGGGCAAAAGTCATTTAATCGACGTCTCACTTAAGCCACAGAAACGTTGGGCTCAGTTGTGGCCGTAAGTCGAGGAGTACCTCTTGCTGGCATCTCTGTCTCTGGAGGGGGAAGAGTTAGTGCCGTTAAGAGCTGCTTCTGGGCACCAAATACATCGAATCCCTTTAAATTTGACTCGTTTTGAACGGCAGAAGGCTCACTCGGGAAATGCGTGATCTGGAATCGGTTGTAAGTTTCCATAAAACGAGGCTTGTTTGGGTTAAAACCTCAGGAACCAAGGAATCTCCCCTAGCTGGGGAGGAAGCATATGGAGATTCTCCTTCGTTCCAGCTCGTGGTTGTCCCAAATAGGGCTTTTTCAAGAGACAACTTGGTTTTTCTTTGAAGAAGCTTCTTGGATGAGAAGCAAAACGTCTTTAAAAAAAACCCCCAAAACCAGAACGTCCAGTTGCCTCTTGAAAAAAGCCCCTTTGGGACTGGGGAGGAGGCGCTTGGTTGATCACTAAGTGATCAGGAGGATTACTTTGGTTAATTAACCCAAAAGAGGGATCTGTTAAACCAGTGTTTCTCAACCTTGGCAACTTGAAGATGTCCGGACTTCAACTCCCAGAATTCCCCAGCAGTGGTTAGGACAGTGTTTCTCAACCTT